ATGATATTTTCACCCTTTTGTTTGGCTACAAGCAATACTATCTTTGACAAACTGCTTTGGTTAGACTAAAAATGTATACATTCTTTGTTTCACAAGCTCCTTATTAATACAGGTAATTTATGCACCATAGCAATATATTTTCTATATCATGCATATGTAAAAGTCTAACAGTTGCCAAATTGTATTACTTCTAATAGTGAACAGAAAGATGGTTGATGAGCCTGTAGCCACAGATTTGTAAGATCAGTTACTCATCTCTCATTAAACTGCTTCCATTTCCCAACAGCTTCCTTCACATCTTTATACTGATTCATATGGGAACAGGTTTTGAAGTTTCTGTACCATGCCTTTCATTTCTTGAAACCACCTTTCAATATACAGTTGCTGTTTCTCTCATCCCTACATTAGGAATACAACGTCCCTACATTACAACATTCCTACATTAGAAATACAACATCTAAAGACTTCCACCCTCATGTATTACCATGTTGGTGGTGTTAGCAGCCAGGCAATGCACCTCTAAGGATCTGGTCACAGTTGCTGAGTGTGTTGTCCTGGCAACCCACACAGGCTGAAAAATAACACTGGTAACATCTCAGGTAGCCTCAACAGCTATAGTTTGTTCAGGTGTGACATAAGACATAAGTCTTCTATCAAGAATTTCACAAATACAGTCACAAGACTCTTCGCAGCATGCCAGCAACTATAAATCCCTTCCAACCAACCGCACCTGCAGATGAGCATGATGGAAGATTAATTCTCCCTTCCCAACTTCTATTCATCAACCCTTCTTTCTCCAAAGCAATCATGGTCACTTTAACGGTTCTCCCCTCCTCCCATTTTACCTTTACAGCAACACAGTAAGATAGGTTAGGCTGAGAGACAGAGGTCACGCAATAAGCTTTATGGCTGAGTAGGAATTTCAGTTTGGCTCATCCCAGTCCTAATCTTACACTCCAGTCCCTACACCACATTGGCCTTCATTCTGGTTTCTCCATGCATTTGCAGAGAGCTAGGAACTGACCCAGTCTCTCCCCTTCATACTGGGAAGGAACTAAGTTCCATTCCATCCTTGAGTCTTCTAGCTTGCGCACAGCATTCAGAACTGGGTGGGTTAACCTTTCCTTTTTCACTGGGTGAGGAAAAATTCAAGCAGCAACAATGCCACTTACCATGTAAAAAGTGTCTCCATTGCCACTGCACATGACTGAGCCCTGTTCCTCCTGGATTCCATCCTTTCCTTGCATTAACTTATGGGTATACTTTAGAAGCTGCAAGATAATTTCTTGCCACTTCTGTGTCTCTCCCTGTTGGGGTTAAGAGGCTGACTATTGCCCTAGCCTGAATTCTCTGTACACCTAAAAGGACTCAGGAGAGGAGCAGCCACAAATGGCTGATGGTTATCAACACAAACCAAAATATGTGGACCCCTGCTTTTAAATACATGGTGAAGGATGAGTGGGAATAATAATAATGGAAAATAAACAATAGGAATGGAATGGTTAAAGCCAACGGCATAGCAAGGAGGGGAAGGGTGTGCCCCCCCCAAGACCTCCGATAAGAGGGAGGAGAGTTTCCTCCTGTTGCAGAGGCTTCCTCTGCAGCACCCAGTTTCGGAGGCAACCCTGTTCAACTTTCCTTTATAGGTATGGAAGAAAGACTATAAGTATAAAATAAGGATGCACAGAGGGGATCCAGCAAAAGAAGTATAGAAGTCTTGAATAACTTAAAGAAGAATGTAATCATGTGTAGATCATGAATTAGAGGAAGTTGTACGGCGGTTTGGGCAAGCGGGTAAAGAAAGGGAATAAGATAATGAGGACAGAGAGTACTTATATGCTTTCAATATTTAATTTGATTCTTAGAAAGAGGAGAATATGAAAAATGAAGTGTTAAGATATGCATAAAATATCTGGATATATATATATACTTAATAAAATATCAATTAAAAATAAATACACGGTGAACATGTACTTATGCATTTTGACACTAAAGGGGTCCTGACAACAACCCCCACCCCCTATAAATAATGGTTGGGGAGGTTCTGTTCCACTGTATCTGAGGAAGTGTGCTTGCACACAAAAGCTTACACCGTGAATAAAACTTTGTTAATCTTAAAGGTGCCACTGGACTCAAACTTTGTTCTGCTGCTTCAGATCAACACAGCTACCCCACCTGAATTTCTGCCACTTGTTGGTGTTATGTCTGAGATTTACTACATTCTTGAGATCCAGTAAAGTTTCACAACTGTAATTTGGTAAATGGCAAAACTTGTTTTTTTAATCAATTGTTCTAAATAGGCTTGCATTTCTTGTGTGCACAAATGCCTTCCTGCACTGCCACTTGGAAACAGTGGTTCCATTAGGGCTGGAATTCAGAGTGCAAGTCTAGCCCCTTCCCTCCATTCACAAACTCAGGAGGTAGGCCCCAAAAGTAGGCTCCAGCTTTACATTTGAAGTATACATTAGCATCTAAAATCCCCATCCCCAATAGGACTATTATGTCCGGAGTCCAAGGCCACAGTCAGACGACAGGCTTAGTGCGGTCTGATTGCACTTCTACTTTCATTGGGGTTTTCCCACAGTTTTGTTCAGATATCTCATTCTTAACCCGCAGCACCGCACGCTCACCCCGTGGTTGACTGTTCCGATTATTGCTGTGTGGTAAACATGGAGCGGTTGGTCGGCATCCTTTTTTTGGTTTGTTTTTTACACATGCACACAAGCGTGTAGCTGAAGCACTGGCTCCTTTTTGGCAGCTCTGCAGTCCCTCCACCAAGTAGTGTAATCATTGGTTCCTATACAACTGTATTTCTCCACCAGAAATCACTCCCTTTCCCACTCATTTCATAGGGAAGTTTTCTCTTTTTCTCTCCCCATAGAGTTTTCCCACCAGTTCAACATTATGAAGTGTCTTGGAGTGAAGTTTTGGGGCCAGAATCCTGGCTGCCGATACGGGAGTCTAAATATGGACTATTTCCACTGCCACCCCACCCTAAGAAATGGCAGAAAGGGGCCTTTTTCTTGAATTTGTCTCTCAAAAACAAACCCGCAGGGGCGCCGGATAAATGCACAAGCGGTGCCTCACGACCCTGTGGCAGAGATCTGCTTATGTGCATATCACTAACTGTTTTTTTTTAAAAGGAGAGAAAACGGAAGTGGAAGATTCAGACTTCCCTTCCAGCTTGAGAGTGCGATGGAGAGTTCAGACATCCCGGAAATGCAGGGTGAAACCAGACAATCCATAAACCTTGGACTTCGCTCAGTGCCAGAAAGCACCAATTCTGCGATGGGCTGATGACTGGGGAACGGGATATGGACAATGCTGTCTGATCGTGTATTTTAAATCCGGAAGGGAACAGCAACAACACTAGATCAAACAGCTCATCTGACTGCAGCCCAAAACTAACTAGCTGCAGTATTGCTATGATTGCCAACCTCCAGGTGGTGGCTGAAGACCTACCACCAGAGGTCATTTCGGGGGGGAACGCGGGAGAACGGAGTTCCCCCGGGTGAGGTGTGGGGGGCGGGGCACATGACGAAGCCCCACCCCCTGCTTCCGGCCGCCCCGCTTCCAGCCCTCATTCAGCCAGGGGGAGGCAGGAGAAGAGGGAGGGTAAGTTGCTTCCTCCCCGCCTCTCCCCACCCCTGCCTGCCTGGGGCCAGGGAGGGCCTTGGCGGGGCTTCCTCGCACTCCCGCTGGCCTTGCAGGTCCACCGCCGAGCCCCTGATGTCAGGGTGTGTGGCATATGCTAATGAGTTATGCTAATGAGTTCCCCTAGCTCTTTTTCTACGAAATGACCCCTGCCTACCACTATTACAGCTCCTGATCTCCAGGTATCAGTTCACCTGGAGAAAAAGGCTCCTTTGGAAGGTGGACTATATGGCATTATAGCTCACTGAAGTCCCTCCCCTCCCCAAACCCTGCCCTCCTCAGGCTCCAACCCCCAAATCTCCAGGTATTTCCCAATCCAGAGCTAGCAGTCCTAAGAACTGCTTAGAAATTATAATGTGGGTGGCAGGAGAAGACAGTGTGTCGCACTGTTTAAAGCCAACAAGCATTTGACCTATATCCCACCCACCCATTCCGCCTGCAAGAATTGTTGTGAGAAGGATGACATACATACGATATGAGCTTACCTTTGAAGTGTGTGTGAATTTCCTAGCATGGGTAATTACTTGATTTCTGGTATTCTGTAAAATTACATTGCCATTTATAAAAAGTTCAAATTAATTTCAGCAACAAGGGCAGTTTCACTGAGATCATCTAAAAAGGGTGAGAGTAATAACCTTCAGAACATGCACCAGCAAGGATATTGGCCTCGGCTAAATACCTCGATGAATGCTGAGCACACAGACATACAAGTGGCACACAAACTGGAAAGGCATCTAGTTTTTAATTGCAAATGGAGTACCACTTTGAGGCCAAGGGAACTAGCCTTGTAATAAAAACAAATATAACCTGAGGAAATTCATATTATGAACCTATTACATTCGAATGTCGACAGCACCTTTATTAAACTGTGCAATTTATCTATACAGATTAAAGTGATGATCTATACTGTATTGATAAGAGTGTTAACATTCTTGCAAAAAAAAAAAAAGAGATGTAACTCCTTTTCAGTGCTGCCCTTTGGACATATAGGCAATGGGAATAGGTAGGGCTATTGAAAAAGAAGTAGCTTCCCTGGCTGCATTTAATGAAATAGATCATTGCACTAAAGAACACAGTGTGAACATCCTCCCAAACTTCTGCTTAGGATTGGTTGTTTCCTGGTGACAGCGCATTCCAAAATACGAAACAGTTTGTTATCCTCAGACACTGCTGCCAAACTGCAGATGGACCCTAAATACACAAAACATGGTAAGCCTACAAAAATATCCAAGCCTCACCCAGCAAATATTATAGCATGACACTGCTATGATGTCCTGAACTAGGTCAAATCCCTGCAGGAAACCCCATTGACTATTCCTATCCTCAGTTTACTTGAAAAGGTTTACCTTTCTGTTTTCTTAATCAGCACAGCCCTGAAGATTTGTTCCTGGAGAGTCCTTTCATTCTCGTTAGTTGGCTGCACAAAGGGATGGACAGCAGCCAAGATGAAGCCCTGCTGGTACAATTCTTGCAGCTGAGCTGGAAGATCACGCAAGGAAGAAAGCCTGATTGTAGATGATCCTGGTAGCTCAGCTGGAACAAAAAAAAAAAGATAGGCTGATCAATAACCATAAATTGGGCTATGCAAAATACTAAACCTTTCGATATCTCCCTTCTCTTTGGGAACAAAGGGTATCTGTTCAAATCTGTAGCATTGTTTACTTTATTTACAGTCTGCCTTTCTCAGTGAGACTCAAGGAGAATTAGTAATTACAGAGATTTTACTTGGGATTCCAAATTTCCCAAAGAAACTGTTAACATCATCCTGCCCATTCAAGTTACCACACACTCGTTTCACATAAGCCTAACCAAATACACCAAAGAAAAACAACATGCAGAAAAAATAGTACTGATAAACAGTTTCAGAGGATAACAGTTTGTTTGTTTGTTTGTTTATCGAATTTATACCCTGCCCTCCCCGCTGTAGCAGGCTCAGGGCAGCTTATTATGCAGGCAAATGAAGTTATCAATGGTTGAATCTGCATTTGTCTTTTCCACCAGTGTCCCAGCCTTCTGACACCATCTTTTTAAAAGCTGTCTACATTTGGTGTCATTTTCACACCTCAACAGTGCTAGCATACTTTTGCATGTCCACATATGTTTATTGCCCTTTCGTGGCAGCTCCCCTGTCATTGCACCTCTGCACTGCTTTAAAAGAATCTTCTCCAAACAACATTCAAACAAACATAGAAAAAGACGGCGTCACAGCAGCACAAAACTGATTTAAAAATGCAAATGCAGATTCGACCAATGACTAACAGCGCAACCAGCACAGGGAGCCGACTGACTCCTACACCAGCATAACTTGGAGTTACACTGGTATAAAAGGCATTAACACCAGCACAGGCACGAGTGGTGCTGTACCACACAGTTACACTGGAGCAGCTACACCGCAGCTGCATGCCAGCGGAGCGATGGCATGAACCCTTGCATCCTGTGGGGCATGACACCAGTTAGGCAGTTCCCAAAGTGTTATCAGCATGGGAACACTCCCCAGAACAGGTGCAAAATTGCACCGGCAAAATGCCGGCATAGCCCATTGGTGTCCATGGTGACTGCAAATTCACCCCTCCCCCAGCTGCAGCCATGTCCACAGGAACCCAAGCAGCTCAGGATACTGACCAAGTGTGCACTCAATCAGCAGAGACACCCTTGCTGGCACCCAATCACAGCCCCCCCCCCCGCCCTACAAATGGTTCCAGGAGGTCACCCCACAACTCCAGAGGTAGAACACTTGGCACAGAATACTGTTTGACAACTCCCTGCCATGTGGACTTAGAGTGAGTGCACATGCATCAGTGGTGGGCAAAACACAGATAGGGCACCCAGCATCACAGGGTGAGCACTTGGGGGAATACATCACATTCTGTGGCTGACCTCTCCCAGATTTTCACCACACAGATACACCAGATACCATCAGTCAGTCAGATTTATTGTTACAGTCAATAACCAGCACAACAACCAGCACTGGTTTCCCATGAGGTAGCCATGTATGAACAGGTAAGCAAGGCTCCCACTCCCCAAACCCCATACCTCCCCTGGGCCTATAACGGTGGCAATGAACCACTCTGGACACAGCATCTCCCCCTCTCAAACCCAGCAGCCAAGGGGGCGAGCTACAGGACCCCAGACGCATACCCCAGATGCACAAAGATCCCGTGCAGCAGGTGGGTAGGTGTGTTGGGGCCCGCCTGAGGCAGCAGCCCAGGGGGAAGGGTGTTAGTGACTCCCGTGCACTAGGTTGCTCACCTCCCCAGTTGGCAACACACACACACCCAAAACGCAGAGGTGGGCGGTGAGCCCCACACGATGGCCAAACCCTTTCCCTTTCAGGAGGAGAATGCCCTGAAGCTGCTAACACAGTGCATCTCCCGGTACAAGAAGGTTCTGACAGGACACTGATTCAGGTGAGGAGGGTGCGGAAACTGCCACCGGGGAGGCTTGCAGCATTTGAGCGCCAGCTAGGATGCCCCTATTGCCACATGGGGGCTCCTGTGTAACTGGAGATGGCCCTTCGAGCTGCCATGATGGAATGTTGCCAGCTGCTCCAGGTACCAATCCAACAGGGAGAGCTATCACCACACCTGCGCAGTGAAACAGAACCATGTGCTCTCTCCACAGCAGAAGCTGCCCCTTGGAAGCACACTGACACATCTAGCTCCCTGGTCATTCCCTCACCACGCCCATCGAGGAGATGACCCTAGCGGCGAGGGACTGAATACGGTACCACTTGGAAGCACCGCGATCCTATCTCAAGCACTCTGGTGTCCCTGGATCCCTTTAATAAAGTGCATCCATTGGGTGCATCTGAGATGTTGGTGTCTGTTGGGGACTCTGGGAGGAGGAAGTGCCTGGAGGGTCCTGTGGAAGCAACATGAACCTGGAGAACACAACAGGTTGGGGGGCTCATCCTGACAAGAATGCAGCCACAGAAGCGGACACAGATGGGAGGGAGGGGAAGTCCAAGGGTCAGGCCGCTGTGCCCCCAGCCAAGGGTACACACTGCACAGGGGTGAAGTGCTGAGTCGTCCCACTCACCTAGTGAAAGGCAGGGTGTAGGGAAAGAATCCTGGGAAGGCAGAGAACCAATACGAAAATACCATGAGTGGTTCCCTGGACCGGACCTGGGTGTGTAGTACATGGCCAAGGGGGCTGACACAGGCAAAACAGCCTTGCTGGTCCCGCTGTGGAATCGAATCCGGTGGCGGCAGGAGCCACCAACACATTGAGGCTTGGCCAGCAGCACTCAGCAGTGTTGAGGCCTGATAGGGCCAACCAGATCCCAGGCACCCTGGGGGAATTTTGAGTATGCAAATGAAAGGCTCAACCATCAAATAGTGGTGGCTACTGGGCAATGGAAGTTGCTGAAGGCAAAACTGAAGGGTGGCTACTTGATGTGTGCATTGCCCTTGCTGATGGCCCTCCTGCAGCACAGCAACTGTGACAGTAGATGCTGTCGCAATGTGTCCCAAGCCACTGATGACCATATTAGACTCAGTACCCACACAGCTAGGAACATCCACCCTTTGTTGGGTAGGTACAAGGGATCTGTACCATGGAGGGATTGGCAATCCATGCAGATGTGCATTTCCTTCCATGACCCTTTCTCCATTGTGCTTGCAAAAGTTGCACATCAGCCACATGGCCTTCCAGTCTCAAATGGTGGAAATTCCTAGCACTGCAGTCACTGTAGTCCATTTCCCTTTTCAAGGGACCACAGCATTGTGAAAAACAGAATGGGTGGCAAGGAGCGGCTCCCCTCGGCCACTTGGCAATGATGCACGTCCCGTGCCAATGCCCTCACGACTTCCTCTGGATGACAGAGGCCCCAAGGGCATTGCCAAATGGGGTTTGGACACACCACCACAGTCCCGGCCAAGCCCTGTACATGGCCAGCTACAGCCATTGGCAGTGCTGTGTTTGCTGTGTCTCTGCAAGAAGCCCACCCTGGCAGTTTCTGACTCACCCAAATGGGGGCATGTGCTGGGGAGGGGTGGGCCTGCTTATTTGGTGGGGGAGGCCATGCTGTGCTGGAGCTGCCCCCACTGACGAGGGAGGGGGGCTGGCATCATCCACCAATTCCACTTCCAGACTGACTGGAGGACAGCCCCCCACCAGCTGGCACAGGCATCTGGAGGGGCTTCTTGCCATCGTGAGGGACATGGGTGAGGGTACAGGGGCACATTGGGAGGACACTGGGAGGACACTGGGAGATCTCTCAGAATCTCTCTACACTCCCCAGCCCCCCCCCCGCCAGCCCCCCCTCCTGCTTGTTCTCCAGTGGAGGTTGCACAAGGGTTGGCACAGAGATGCCCTCAACAGTGTGGGCACCTTGCTGGATGGCATGGCTGCCAGTGAGCGGAGAGCACCCGCACACCCATGTTTGTGTTGGTCATGGCCTGCAGAGAACCTGTGTGCTCTGTCTGCAGAGCAACGACTTGGGTGTCCGTAGGGCACATGGCGATGGCCCCCTCCCCACTGAGAGGCGGCCAAGGCTTCTGATGGGAGGTGGTCTCTTTAAGGCGGGGTGTGCTGCAGGGGAGGAGTGTCACTCCTTTGGCCTGCCTCTCTCCGGCCCCTGCCCATGATGGACACTTGTCTTGGCCCCCTCAACGCATGACTCCCATTGGTCCTGCCTGCAGTATCAATCACGCCGCTCCTGCCTAGCAACAACACTTTGGTCGGTATGCTGTGGAGGAAACACCACAGATGCCACTGTGGCAGCCCCCGGCAACACCAGCGGGGCATCTTTCCCCCCTCTTCAGCTGCCGCATAACTTTCCCCTTAGGGAGGCGACTAGCAGTGCCACCGTTGCAGAGTGGCTGGCCACTGCAGCACAGGTGCTGCACGGGATTGCTCTGCCCAGTGTTGGATATACATGTAAAAAAGAAAACAGCTCCCCCTCCTGAAAGGACACGTGAGCCAAAGTGATTAAATGAATACTCTGAGTGTACCACAGACCATCTCTCCATCTATGTTGACTCAATTTCTCAGCATTTGCTTCGTTAATTTCTTTCCCATTTGAGAGAAATTCACGCTCCTTTAGATCCTGATCTTCTGAGATTCAGTATGCCTGGGTCCCATTAATCATCAATAGGAATAACAGCTTCCTGAAGATAATCAGACCCTTGAAACAGGCCTCTTCCCTGGAAAAATCTTGTGGGACACACTCTGTATGAAACACAGTTTACTCTGCAGACATTCTTCTTTCTGCTGCATTTCCCATAAGAATGCAGAGCTACTGCTTTTTGAATAATGAAAAAAGTTGTCGTAGCAGCTAATAAATATTCAAAACTAATAATAAAAGGCATAATTTAGATAATAATAGGATAGCTAGCTGCTGCCCTATACTTTTTCTATAGTTTCTCTTAACCTACAAGAACCAAGTTCCAGGAATATACAATGGATCTTGTGATTGAGGAATGCAGGACACAATATCATTATTTCTTTAAACAGAGAGGGAAAAACCAAGAAATGCATATACTGACAGATAATGTGCCACAGAGTTCTCTCCCAGCATACAAACTAAGGAA